CCCCCCCCCCCTCTCCCAGGGTGTGTACACGGCTACGAGTACACACACACACCCTCCCCATGAATGTGTGCGGCTGCTGCTACAACATCCCACCACTCCTTCCTTGACCGCGGTGGCGACGAGCGGCCACTTTAGCACGTCGTCGACCGTCTTGATCGGCCCGCCTTGCTCCTTCTCGAGAGTCTCGAAGGCGCTCTTGAGCTGAGACGCCTCCAGCACCCCGCGGTCCATCAGGTCCTCTCTTGAGTATTCACGACAGCCAACACACGCAAAATAAGTCACCACCAACGCCATCATCATCGTCATAAAAAAAAACAGCAATGGCGAAGACAAATCAACAGCAACAGGTGGAGGAGCAACAGCAATACCAACGACAAATACAAAAAGCACCGTTCTTGCGTACTTGCTTGATGCGTATTGCTCTCTAGAACGTGCACGGAGAAAGAGCGGCGAAAGGGCATGCTATGTAGTCCACATCCCGTTTCCGGCTGTGGCGCCTCCAACCACCCAACAGCATGACCTAGACTTGTGATTTCTTCCTTTAACCAATCGACCTGGCAACATTCGAACTGCAAGTAATCAACAGGCAAAGGTCCACGATAGCCGAAGCAAACCTGAGGGCAAGCAACGCATCCAGAGGGCCGCCTGGGTGGGGGAATCACAGAGAATTCCCAGGTACGATATGAAGCACCCCTTCCGTCGTGACGGGGGGGGGGGGGGGGGGGGGGGCCCNGGGGGGGGGGGGGGGGGGGGGGGGGGGGGGGGGGGGGGGGGGGTCACCCGCGATGAAATCGGTAAAGTATGATCGGGAGAACCAAGCAATGACGCCGCTCTCGCCGACAAACAAAGCACCGGCCAAAAAGGAACGAATGCCAAGTTGATAAGAGCCAAAAGGTAGGGGTGAGAAACATTTTTTAATACCTGTGGGGACGTTCTCTGAACGACTTGCTGATCACATCGCCCAGCATGGCCCTCTGGAGGCTCTGCTTGGCCCGATCTTCCTGGCTGAGGTAGATCCCTCTTTCCTTGAGGTCGGAAATACTAGCCCTGCTTGCTCAAAAACGCGAGACACAACACACACATTACGTTGGTCAGCCGGTTTACGCGGCCGACGCAAAAAAACACACGCACACACGCTGAGGCTGACGTCTTTTCAGTGGTAAGCCGGTTGGCGCGGTCGATCACAATATTTTCGCCTTGAACTGGAGTTGACAGCAACAAAGCAACCGTGAAGCTTTCTATTGGCACGCACATCTACGCGTTTTCCCTGCGCCCAGGCTCTCGTGATTGCTGTCAACATTCGCCGGAAGATATCACACGGAACATGTGTCCAAGGCAGCAAGCAATACGTGTACGAATACTCCTCCAGCCGAACTTCACACGTGCTTGTTGTCGCTTGCTCCTTTTCTCGCCCGCTTTCTCTGCCATCTATTTATATGTTCTGATGGGCCTCTGCCAGTATTGATCTGACATTGCCTCTGTACTTTCTTGATGCCTTCCTGTCTTTGTTGATGGGTACACAACTACGGAACGGGTTCGAGGTGTGGCAAAATAGGCCACGAAGGCAAAAGCTAAGATGTACTCGCAACGGCTACAATACCCATTATCGCTTGTCAGCGATTCGGGTGTGATACCCCCCTGGGAGAGCAGGTTGAAACGAAGGCTCGCCCTTCGCCGGAATAAGCACGTGTGCGTACCACAAGGGAGTCGTTCCTCCGTCCTCAGGATCACAATGGAAGCTACATACAGAGACTCCTAGGAAGCGAAACAGCAACAGCCAACAACGACAACATCGTCAGCACCGTGGTCATGTCCACCCACCTGTGGCCGAGCTCCTGCTCAAGAAAGGCCCGCGCCAGCCTGTGCTGCTTGTCGTCTTCCACCACCTGCTCGGGGGTGCGATAGATGCCCCGGGCCTTAAGCTCATCCAGGGAGGGGTGGCGGCGATGTTGGCCCTGTCGTGCGTCCGTAGCACAAAGCGAATAGTGTTAGGCGCGTGGCGAATATTCCTCTAGGTTTTGATCGAGACAGCAAAGCGCGTCGGAGTTTGTAAGTGGTTGGAAAAACCCAAAATCAGGAGACACAGCAGGACAACATAGTTCCGGAACTGATCGTGGTATATCGTAGTTGCTCGTTTTTCGCTTGCCTTCGGAGGCCACCGACGAAACACCAAGGTACTAGCAACGCCTCTACTCTTTGCCTCAGCTGATCAACGAAACTTCAACTATTTTCCCATCGCGTGTGTGACGGGGGTTCTTGATTTCCCTCTCTTCAATGCCAAAAATATCGGGCCGCCACAACGGAGCACGCAGTCATTCAAACGATGCTCCTCAGCGTGCTGGTGGTGTTCCCGTAGTCACAGAGGTTTGACGGACAACAAGTTGATTCATTTCCAACACTTGATCGTTTTCTTGTCCTCCTTGTGACCGTATGCGTATTAACGTTGGGTTTTTAAGTTAGTATTGCTGAGAGCAAGTGGTAGATGTTCGTTTGTAAATGGACGTACTAAGTACCTCTCCAGTTTAGTCAGCTCGTGGCAAACATACCACTATAATACAAACCCTCGTCCCGACAACGCCACACACATGCAGACGGACAGGGGCTGGATCGCTGGTTGACGGTCCGTCCGTACCCGGGCGCAAATCGTTCCCTCCAGCCCTGATGAACAGCAGTATCACCACCCAACCACGCTGCAAATCAGCAAGACTTCACGTTTCCGACAGTCACGTCTACCACGCTTTTGCCGTTGTTGCCCACGAGTTAGCAACCCCCACCTGCACGCTCAGCAAACCTGACGAATACCTCTCGCTCTGTTCGCCCGCGCCTTTATCAATCCGAAACACCAACACCAGCCACAACAACAACGAAAACGACAAACCCCTCCTCCTCTCGAGAACGCGTGGTCAACCAAGGCATGCGAAATGTATGTGTGTCCCCTCGCCCCCCCCCCCGTCTCACCGCCACAGCAGTAGAATCCCCATTTCTGCCAGCGGCAAGGACAAGATCCGCCGCGCTGCCGGCGCTGCGCTGTTGCAAGTGCCGTGACACGCGGCTTGCGGCTAGAGTTCTCTCGCCGGCGAGCTGTCCCGGCGTCTGTTCCTCGAGGATGATGCCCGAGCGGACGAGGTCGTGGTGGGAGAACTTCCTGTCTAGGAGGCCGTGCCGCAGGCAGGCCTGATCGAACGCGGGGAACGAGGGGGAGCCGACACACAACAGCGGGAGAGAGAGAGAGAGAGAGAGAGAGAGAGAGAGAGAGAGAG